CTTGCGCTGCCTCAAATTGAGATCCCTCTGCTTGAACAAATGCTGCAAGCTGCGATGATCGGTGTAAACCTCACAGGACACCCCATAAAGATAATGCCTCCAGATCTTGAGAGCATAAACTATCACGGCCAACTCCAAGTCATGTACGGGGTAATTCTTCTCGTGGGGCTTCAGCTGATGTGAAGCATATGCAATAACTCGCCCCTCCTGCATCAATACACAACCCAGTCCAACATGTGAAGCATCGCAATACAAAATATATATCCCTGAACTGGAAGGCAACACTAACATCGGTGTAGTCGTCAATGTTATAATGACCCAACCGGTAATTTTGACTTTTAGAATCCCGTTCCCCTAAATAAAACTCTCCATATGTGCTTTTATAAATTAATGACTTTCGGGGATGGTTGGTTCGAGATTTAAAAGTGTTCGGGTTGAGATCAGAACACTTGATTCCTTAAGTTGGCCTTAAAATGCTAAGTTTGACTTTGGTCAACATTTTGAGAAAATAACCCCGGAATAGAATTTTGATGATTCCAACAGCTCCGTATGGTGATTTTGGACCTAGGAGCGTGTTCGGAATTCTATTTGGAAGTCCGTAGTTAAATTAGGCTTAAAATGGCTAAAATAGGAATTTAAGTTTGAAAGTTTGACCGGGGTATTGAATTTTTGATACTGGAGTCGTAATCCAGTTCCAAAAATTTTCATAGCTCAGTTATCTCATTTATGACTTGTGTGCAAAATTTGAGGTCAATCGGACCTGATTTGATAAGTTCCGACGTCATTTGTAGTAATGGAAAATTTTAAAGTTCATTTGGCTTGAATCTATGTTTGATTCGTGTTTTTAGTGTTGTTTGATGTGATTTGAAGGCTTGACTAAGTCTGTAGTGTATTTTGGGACGTGTTGGTATAATTGGTTAAGGTCCCGAGGGCCCCGGGTGGATTCCGGGTGGTTAACGGATCGAATTTGGAATTTGAAGAAGAGTTGAGGCAGCTGATATCTGGTTTGATCGCACCTGCGGAAAAAGGGATGTGGGTGCGAAGCCGTAGGTGCAAAAAATCCATCGCAGGCGCGAAGGATTTTTCCATGGGTGCGAAGCCGCAGGTGCAAAAAATCCATCGCAGGCGCTGACACCGCAGGCGCGAAGGATTTTGCCGCTGGCGCGATGATCGCTGGGCAGTGAGTGTTTAAAGTGGGGATTTGAGCATTTTTGCTCATTTCTTCATTCTTGGACAATCTTTGGAGCTTCTTGAGAGGAGCATTCACCTAGCAACTTGGAGATACGAGTCGATCAGAGTCAAAAAATCGAGGAAAAGGCATACTACATGATTGAATTGGAGCAAGTCGAGGTAAGTGACTTGTCTAACCTTGTGTGGGGGAAATTTTTCCTAGAATTGGTATTGAAGTGATTAATTGAAATTTGTTAAAAGCGGTGTACACGAGGTGACGAGTGTATACACGGGCTAAATATAAAAGATTATGTCTTTAAATTGTGTAGATCACTGTTGCATATCAATTAAATAATTCTACCTTGTTATATTCTTCATCATTGATTTAAATGTTTATACTTTAAATTGTTTCACCTTTTCCTGCTAATTGTTTTACCTATTTAATTGAAACTTGGTTTCTTTTATTTTGTGCATTATTTGAAGGCTATTTTTTTTAAATTAAATATTATTAATATGAATTATTGGATATTTTAAATTTGGTATTGAAGAAACGTATTAAAATTTTGAAATATTATTTTGTTGAATTATTTATTTCTGAATATTTTTGGTGAGATTTTCGTACTCATTGTGATGGAGCCGTGAGCTCTTTATTGTAAAAAAAATATTATTGTTGAATTATTTTGGCACGAGCCGTGAGCTTATTATTATGAAAAAATATTGTTGATTTATTTTCGCAAATTGAAATATTTGGGCACTTGAGGTGTAAATTGTGATATATTGTGATATTGATACGCATGCGGTGGTATAAGATTTGGGTGTGAAACGCATGCGGTGAGATAAGGGTGGCTTGATACGCATGGCTAGTAGGGGAAACTACTAGAAGGCATGCAGTGTGATAAGGATGGCTAAAACGCGGGATACTATTTCACGAAAAATGTTTTCTTTAAAATAGATTATGAAGGCTCCCACAGTGATATAAGGGAATGAGATATTGTGAATTTATTTATGATTTGGGACTACGAGACGGTACCTCGGGAGTGCCCTTGTTGATATTGATTTATGGACGCAGTTACCTTTGATTATTGTTGTGATTTTCTTAAAGTTGAAAAAATTATGTTTTGTTTCCACGAGGTATTAATTGCCATTATTTGGTATAATTAAATGGTGACATACTGCTTGATTCATTTTCATTATCATTGTTTTTCTTATTATATTGTCAAACATTTACCATGCCATTATTTATATTCCAGTAGGTCCTGACCTGACCTCGTCACTACTCTACCGAGGTTAGGCTTGGTACTTACTGGGTACCGCTGCGGTGTACTCATACTATGCTTCTGCACATCTTTTTGTGCAGATCCAGGTACATCTTATCAGACCCGGCATCAGTGAACTAGCTGTACGAGGAGACTTCGAGGTATATCTGTCAGCGTCCGCAGACTTCGGAGCACCCTTCTATCCTACTATGTTGTCTTCCTTATCTGTTTTAGACTATGATGTATAGAGACATAGAGAATAAATTCTTAGAAGCTTGTGACTTATTTCTACCGGGTTTTGGGAGTTGTAATTGTTTGAATTGTAGTTTATTTATTTCAGATATCTATTATTATTCCGCATTGATACTCTTACCTAGTCTTATAGACTAGGTGCCATCACGACCTCCTACGGAGGGAATTTGGGGTCGGGACAAGTTGGTATCAGAGCTCTAGGTTCATAGGTATTATGAGTCAGAAGCAGGTTTAGTAGAGTCTTGCGGATCGGTACGGAGACGTCTGTACTTATCTTCAGGAGGCTATGGAACTGTTAGGAAAATATTTACTTCTTTGATTCCTTATCGTGCGCAATTGTTGAATTCAAAGTTCTAAACCATTATCTTTCTATTCTCTCACAGATGGTAAGAACACGCACAACTGGATTCAATGATCAGACACCCGCGCCCCCTGTTGGAGCCGCAAGAGGCCGGGGTCGGGACAGAGGCTGAGCCAGAGGCCGAGGAAGTCCATGTGGTGCAGCCAGAGCACCTGCACGAACTGCTACACCAGAGCCACCAGTAGCTCTAGTTGGAGAACAGGCACCTGAGATGCCTGTTACTACTCCTGCACTTCAGGAGACTCTTGCCCAATTTTTGAGCATGTTTAGCACTCTAGCTTAGGCAGGGTTAATTCCATTTGCTCCGGCCACATCTCAGGCCGGAGGAGGAGCATAGACTCCCGCCGCCCGTACTCCAGAGCCACGGGCCCAAGTTGACCATGCCCTAGAGGTTATACTAGTGCAGCCAGTTGCCCCAGTTTGGCATGAGATTAGGAGAGCAGTTTCAGAGGGGGAGCAGCTTAGGCTCGATAGGTACAAGAAGTACCACCCTCCCACTTTCAGCGGTTTAGCTTCAGAGGATGCTCAGGGTTTTCTGGAGGAATGCCACTGTATCCTTCGTACTATGGGTATTGTGGATTCTAGTGCGGTTTCTTTCACGACATTCCAGTTTAGAGGAGCAGCCTACCAGTGGTGGCGGGCATATGAGTTGGATAGTCCCGCTGAGGCTTATTCACTCACTCGGACTCAATTTTTAGATATGTTCTTAAGGGAGTATGTTCCTTAGAGCCTTAGAGATGCATGGCGCACAGAGTTTGAGTAGCTGCGCCAGGGTTCTATGACCATGTCAGAGTATGCGGTCCGATTTAGTGAGTTGGCTAGGCATGCACCAGCCATAGCTGCTACTATTCGAGAGCGGGTTAGCAGATTTATTAAGGATCTCCACCCTAGTATCAGATTCAGTATGGCCCGAGAGCTAGAGATGGATATCACATACCAACAAATGGTGTCAATTGCTAGGAGATTGGAAGGTATGCAGACTCGGGAGAGGGAAGAGAGGGAAGCTAAGAGACCCCGAGATTCTGGCACATATAATAATTCTCGTGCCCTAGTTGCAGCCCTTCATGGTAGAGGTTATGTGAATTGTCCTATTTATTCAGTACTTCCAGCTTCCAGTGGTATTTCGGCTAATCCCAGACCTCAGGTTCCATATTATGCACTACCAGTGTCTACTGTACCTCATGTACGGGGTGCTTTCAGCGGGCAGTCTAGTCGATCAGGCACGAGCCAGTCCCAACAACCACGTCCTCCGAGGGCTTGTTTTGAGTATGGTTACACTCGTCATATTATGAGAGATTGCCCCAGATTTAGGAGGGATGCACCTCCACAGATTTCTCAGGCCCCACCCATTCCACAAGGCCCTCAGGCTTCTCATGCCATGATTACTGCACCAGTTGTCACTCCACCTGCACAGCCAGCCAAAGGTGGAGGTCGGGAAGGTAAAGGTCGCCCTAGAGAGGGAGGCCGGGCTAGATATTATGCCCTTCCTGCTAGGACAGAGGTCGTTGTATCCGATTCTGTTATCACAGGTATTATTCCGGTCTGTCATAGAGATGCATCAGTATTATTGGATCCAGGCTACATTTATTCTTATGTGTCATCTTATTTTGCCCCGTATTTGGGCGTATCATGTGATTCCTTGAGTTCTTCTATTTATGTATCTACACTCGTGGGTGAATATATTATTGTGGACTACGTGTATCAGTCGTGTTTACTTGTTATCAGTGGTTTGAGACCAGATCTGATTTATTATTGCTCAGTATGGTGGATTTTAATATTATTTTGGGCATGGACTGGTTGTTGCCCTATCACACTATTCTTGATTGTTATGCCAAGACGGTGACGTTGGCTATGCCAGATTTACCACGGCTAGAGTGGAGAGGTACCTCGGATCATGTTCCTAGCAGGGTTGTTTCATTTCTTAAAGCTCAACGAATGGTTGAGAGGGGTGTGATGTGTATCTGGCCTATGTGAGAGATGTTAATGTTAATACCCCCACCATGGAGTCAGTTCCTATAGTAAGGGATTTTCCTGATGTATTTCCAGCGGATCTCCCTGGTATGCCACCCTACAGGGATATTGATTTTGGCATTGATTTGTTATCGGGCACTCAGCCTATTTCTATTCCACCATATCGTATGGCCCTAGCAGAGTTGAAAGAATTAAAAGAACAATTACATGAATTGCTTGATAAGGGCTTCATTCGGCTTAGTGTATTGCCTTGGGGTGCTCCTGTCTTATTTGTAAAGAAGAAGGATGATTCTATGCTGATGTGTATTGATTACCGCCAGCTGAACAAGGTTACAGTGAAGAATAGATATCCATTGCAACATATTGATGACCTATTTGATCAGATTCAGGGTGCCAGAGTTGTTTTCTAAGATCGACTTCCGTTCAGGCTATCATTAGTTGAAAATTCAGGAGCCAGATATCCCGAAGACTTCTTTCAGGACTCGGTACGGTCATTACGAGTTCTTTGTGATATCTTTTGGGCTGACCAATGCCCCAGCAACATTTATGCACTTAATGAATAGTGTATTTCAGCCCAATCTTGATTCTTTCGTCATTGTGTTTATTGATGATATTCTAGTGTATTTACAGAGTCGGGAAGATCATGAACAACACTTGAGGGCTGTGCTTCAGACTTTGAGAGAAAAGAAATTATAAGCAAAATTTTCAAAGTGTGAATTCTAGCTTGATTCAGTGGGAATTTTGGGCCATATAGTTTTGTGTGAGGGGATCAAGGTAGATCCGAAGAAGATTGAAGCAGTGCAAAGTTACTCCAGACCGTCCTCAGCTACGAAAATTCGGAGTTTCATTGGTTTGGCAGGGTGTTATCGCCGATTTGTAGAGGGTTTCTCTTCTATTGCTGCATCTATGACCAAATTGACCCAGAAGGGTGCTCCATTCAGGTTGACCGAGGAATGTGAGGAGAGCTTCCAAAAGCTCAAGACAGCTTTGACTACAACCCCAGTATTGGTATTACCTACAGGTTCAGGGTCTTATACTGTGTATTGTGACGCATCGCGTATTGGTCTCGGTGCAGTGTTGATGCAATATGGTAGGGTGATTGCTTATGTGTCCAGACAGTTAAAGTTACATGAGAAGAATTATCCGGTCCATGACCTTGAGTTAGCAATTATTGTTCATGCCTTGAAGATTTGGCGGCATTATTTGTACGGTGTCCATTGTGAGGTCTACACCGATCACCGGAGTCTACAACATCTGTTTAAACAAAAGGATCTTAATTTGTGGTAGCAGAGATGGTTGGAGTTGCTTAAGGATTATGATATCACCATTCTCTATCATTCCGGGAAAGTCAATGTAGTGGCCGATGCCTTGAGTCGTAAGGCAGCGAGTTTGGGCAGCTTAGCATATTTATCGGTAGCAGAGAGGCCTTTAGTCTTGGATGTTCAGGCCTTGGCCAACCAGTTTGTGAGGTTGGATATTTTCGAGCCGAGAAAAGTTTTGGCTTGTGTTGTTTCTCAGTCTTCTCTTTATGATCGTATCAGAGAGTGTCAGTATGATGACCCCCACTTGCTTGTCCTTAAGCACATATTTCAGCACGGTGATGCCAAAGAAGTCAATATTGGAGATGATGATGTATTACGGATGCAGGGAAGGATATGTGTGCCTAATGTAGATGGTTTGTGTGAGTTGATTCTCTATGAGGGTCACAGTTCGTGGTACTCCATTCATCCGGGTGCTACAAAGATGTATCAGGACTTGAGACAACACTATTGGTAGAGGCGGATGAAGAAAGACATAGTGTAGTATGTAGCTCGGTGTCTAAATTGTCAACAAGTGAAATATGAGCATCAACGACTGGGTAGATTGCTTCAAAAGTTAGAAATTATGAAGTGGAAATGGGAGAGGATCACTATGAATTTTGTTTTTGGACTTCCACGGACTCAGCGGAAATTTGATGCAGTTTGGGTGATTGTGGATAGGCTTACCAAGTCAGCTCATTTCGTTCCTGTGATTACTACCTACTCTTCCGAGCAGTTGGCTCGAATCTATATTCGCGAGATTGTCAGACTTCACGGCGTACCAGTATCTATCATCTCTGACCGGGGTACACAATTTACCTCACTATTTTGGAGGGCTGTACAACAAGAGTTGGGTACTCGTGTGGAGTTGAGTACAACATTTCACCCTCAAACAGACGGGCAGTCCGAATGCACTATTCAGATATTGGAGGTTATGCTTCGTGCATGTGTGATAGATTTTAGGGGTGCTTGGGATCAGTTCTTACCACTTGCGGAGTTTTCTTACATCAACAGTTATCAGTCATATGGCTCCGTATGAGGCCTTGTATGGTAGGCGGTGCTGGTCTCCAATGGGTTGGTTCGAACCGGGTGAGACTAGGCTATAGGGTGTGGACTTGGTTCAGGATTCCTTGGAAAAGGTTAAATTGATTCAGGATCGACTTTGTACAGCTCAATCTAGACAAAAGAGTTATGTGGATCAGAAGGTTCGTGATGTTGCATTCATGGTTGGTGAGCGGGTTTTGCTTCGGGTTTCGCCTATGAAGGGTGTGATGAGGTTCGGGAAGAAGGGCAAGTTGAGCCCTAGGTATATTGGGCCTTTTGAAATTCTTGAACGAGTTGGAGAGGTGGCTTACAGACTTTCACTACCACCTAGTCTCTCTGCAGTTCATCCGGTATTCCATGTTTCTATGCTCCGGAAGTATCACGACGATCCGTTTCATGTGTTAGACTTCAATTCAGTTCAGTTGGACAAGGATATATCTTATGTTGAGGAATCAGTGGCTATTTTGGACAGACAGGTTCGAAAGCTGAGGTCAAAGAATATTACTTCCATGAAGGTTCAGTGGAGGGGTCATCCGGTCGAGGAGGCGACTTGGGAGACCGAGCATGAGATGCGCAGCTGTTATCCTCATCTTTTTACCACTCCAGGTATAATTCTAAAACCGTTCGAGGACGAACGTTTGTTTAAGAGGTGGAGAATGTAATGACCCAACCAGTCATTTTGACTTTTAGAACCCCATCCCCCTAAATAAAACTCCCTATATGTGCTTTTATAAATTTATGACTTGCGGGGATGGTTGGTTCGGGATTTGGAAGTGTTCGTAACTAGGAGCGTGTTCGAAATTTTATGAGAAAACGACCCCAAAATAGAATTTTGATGATTCCAACAGCTCCGTATGGTGATTTTGGACCTAGGAGAGTGTTCGGAATTTTATTTGTAAGTCCGTAGTTAAATTAGTCTTGAAATGGCTAAAATAGAAATTTAAGTTTGGAAGTTTGACCGGGGAGTTAACTTTTTGATACCGAAAATTTTCATAGCTCCGTTATGTCATTTATGACTTGCGTGCAAAATTTGAGGTCAATCGGACTTGATTTGATAGGTTCCGGTGTTATTTGTAGAATTGAAAATTTTCAAAGTTCATTAGGCTTGAATCTATGTGTGATTCGCGTTTTTAGTGTTGTTTGATGTGATTTGAAGGCTCAACTAAGTTCGTAATATATTTTGGGATGTGTTGGTATAATTGGTTAAGGTCCCGAGGGCCCCGGGTGGATTCCCAGTAGTTAACGGATCGAATTTGGAATTTGAAGAAGAGTTGAGGCAGCTGATATCTGGTATGATCGCACCTGGGAAAAAAGGGCCGCAGGTGCAAAAACTCCATCACAGGCGCGAAGGAATTTTCCGTGGGTGTGAAGCCGCGGGCGCGATGATCACTCGGCAGTGAGGGTTTAAAGCAAGGATTTGAGCATTTTTGCTCATTTCTTCATTCTTGGACGATCTTTGGAGCTTCTTGAGAAGAGCATTCACCTAGCAACTTGGAGATACGAGTCGATCGGAGTCAGAAAATCAAGGAAAAGGCATACTACGTGATTAAATTGGAGCAAGTCGAGGTAAGTGACTTGTCTAACCTTGTGTCGGAGAAATTTCCCCTAGGATTGGTATTGAAGTGATAAATTGAAATGTGTTAAAAGTTGTATACACGAGGTGACGAGTGTGTACACGGCCTAAATGTAAAATATTTTGTCTTTAAATTGTGTAGATCGTTGTTGCAGATCAATTAAATAATATTACCTTGTTATATTCTTCACCATTGATTTAAATGTTTATACTTTAAATTGCTTAACCTTTTCCTGCTAATTGTTTTACCTGTTTAATTGAAACTTGATTTCTTTTATTCTGTGCATTATTTAAAGGCTGATTTTCTTTAAATTAAATATTTTTAATATGAATTATTGGATATTTAAAATTTGGTATTGAAGCAACGTATTAAAATTTTGAAATATTATTTTGTTGAGTTATTTATTTCCGAATATTTTTGGTGAGATTTTCGTACTCATTGTGATGGAGCCGTGAGCTCTTTATTGTGAAAAAATATTATTGTTGAATTATTTTGGCATGAGCCGTGAGCTCTTTATTATGAAAAAATATTGTTGTTGATTTATTTTGGCAAATTGAAATATTTGGGTACTTGAGGTGCAAATTATGATATATTGTGATATTGATACGCATGCGGTGGTATAAGGTTTGGGTGTGAAACGCATGCGGTGAGATAAGGGTGGCTTGATAAGCGTGGCTAGTAGGGGAAACTACTAGAAGTCATGCGGTGTGATAAGAATGGCTAAAACGCGGGATGCTATTTTGGAAAAAATATTTTCTTTAAAATAAATTGCGAAGGCTCCCGCGGTGATATAAGGGAATGAGATATTGTGAATTTATTTATGATTTGTGACTACGAGGCGGTTCCTCGGGAGTGCCCTTGTTGATATTGATTTATGGCCGCAGTTACCTTTATTATTGTTGTGATTTTCTTAAAGTTAAAAAAAATTCTGTTTTGTTTCCATGAGGTATTAATTGCCATTATTTGGTGTAATTAAATGGTGACATACTACTTGATTCATTTTAATTATCATTTTTTCTTATTATATTGTTAAACATTTACCATGCCATTATTTATATTCCAGTAGGGTCTGACCTGACCTCGTCACTACTCTACCGAGGTTAGGCTTGGCATTTACTGGGTACCGCTATGGTGTACTCATACTACGCTTCTGCACATCTTTTTGTGCAGATCCAGGTACATCTTATCAGACCCGGCGTCAGTGAACTAGCTGTACGAGGAGACTTCGAGGTATATCTGCCAGCGTCCGCAGACTCCGGAGTCCCCTTCTATTTTACTATGTTGTCTTCCATATTTGTTTTAGACTTTAATGTATAGAGACATAGAGAATAAATTCTTAGAAGCTTGTGACTTATTTTTACCGGGTTTTGCGAGTTGTAATTGTTTGAATTGTAGTTTATTTATTTCAGATATCTATTATTATTCCGCATTGATAGGTTTACCTAGTCTTATAGACTAGGTGCCATCACGACCTCCTATGGAGGAAATTTGGGGTTGTGACAAATGCGGTCTTGAGCTATTGAAAGCTCGCCTTGCAATCCTCGGACCATCAGAACGGAGCACCCTTCTGGGTCAATCTAGTCAAAGGTGCCGCAATAGATGAGAAGCCCTCCACAAACCGGCGATAATAACCTGCTAACCCTAAAAAACTCTTGAACTCGATTGCTGTGGTAGGACGAGGCCAACTCTGGACTACATCGATCTTCCAGGGGTCTACCTTAATACCCACTCCTAATACAACATGCCCCAAGAATGCCACAGTGTCTAACCAGAACTCACACTTGGAGAACTTAGCATATAGCTTCTATTCCCGCAAGGTTTGAAGCAGAACTCTCAAGTGCTGCTCGTGCTCCTCCATACTACGCGAGTAGATCAATATGTCATAATTGAAGACAATGACCAATGAGTTAATATATGGACTGAATACCCAGTTCATCAAATCCATAAATGACGTCGGGGCATTGGTCAAGCCGAAGGACATCACTAGAAACTCATAGTGGCCATATCTAGTCCGGAAAGGCATATTCGGAACATCCAAAGCAGGACTCTTTAGCTGATGATACCTCGATCTCATGTCGATCTTAGAGAACAACCTGGCACCCTAAAACTGGTCAAACAAATCACCAATACGCGATAACGGGTACTTGTTCTTAATGGTAACTTTGTTCAACTGGCGGTAATCAATGCACATCTGCATAGTCTTATCCTTCTTCTTCACGAACAACACCGGTGCACCCCAAGGCGACAAACTAGGTCTGGCGAACCCATTTTCTAGAAACTCCTCAAGCTGTTCTTTCAACTCCTTCAGCTCTTTCGGAGCCATGCGGTATGGTGGAATAGAGATAGACTGGGTACCTGGAGCCAAATCAATACAAAAATCGATATCATGATCTGGTGGCATGCTTGGTAAATCAGAAGGAAATACGTCGGTGAACTCCCGCACCACGGGCAATGAATCAATCATTGGAGTCTCTGCAGCAGTATCCCAAACATAAGATAGATAAGCCAAACAACCCTTCTCGGCCATATATCGAGCCTTCAAGAAAGAGATAACCCGACTAGATGCACTGATAGATGAACCCTTTCACTCAAATCTAGGCAACTCTAGCATCGCCAAGGTAACATTCTTGGCATGGAAATCAAGGACAACATGATATAGAGACAACCAGTCCATGCCCAGGAAAAGCTCAAAGTCGGTCATGTCGAACAACAGAAGATCCGATCTGGTCTCATAATCACAGAAAGTCACGATACAGGACCGGTAAATCTGATCCACCACCACATAATCGCCCACTGGCGTGGACACATATATATGAGTACCCAACGACTCACGAGGAATACCCAAAAAATGAGCAAACAGAGATGAAACATATGAATACGTAGATCCTAGATCAAATAGTACTGAAGCATCCCTACTGCAGACAAAAATAATATATGTGATCACGACATATGAGGCTATTGCATCTGGTCTGGCTGGAAAGGCATAGAACCTAGCTGTTGCACCACCTGAGTGGCCTTCACCTCTAGAGTGGCCCCTATCCACCTGCCCTCTACCTTTAGGTGGCCGGACGACTGGTGCGGTAGCTGGTACGGTAATCATGGGCTGATGACCCTGCTGTACAACCTTGCCCCGAAGCCTTGGGCAGAACCTCCTCACATGACCAAGATTCCCACACTCAAAGCAACCTGTCGGTGCGAAAGAGTGATCTTGGATCTGACTCTGGAGACCTGAACACCCATTGGAAGAACCCTAAATAGTTGGCGGACAGTAGGAGCTCTCGGGAATGGCACTGAAATAGGGCAAAACTGGAGCACCCCAAGAAGGTGCCAGTGCTGGATATGTGGGCCTGCTAGACTGGCCCCTCACAAACTGACCTCTACCCCCAGATGGAGCACTACTAAACCCTCCAGAATATCGAGATCGCTTATCCCTTGGCGCGTGCTCTCGGCCCTACTGATGATTACCCTCGATCTTCCGAGCTATCTCCACAACATGCTCGTAAGGAGTCCCCATCTCAATCTCTCGGGCCATAGTGACATGGATACCATAGTGCAAGCCCGCAATAAGCCTCCACACTCTATCTGTATCAGTGGGAAGTATCATAAGTGTATGGCGAGACAACTGAGAGAATCTCGCCTCATAGTCGGTCGCGGACTTCTGATCCTACTAGAGCCGCTCGAACTGATCCCGTAACTCTTCCCTCTGAGAGGGTGGGATATATCTCTCCAGAAAGAGACATGTGAACTGGTCCCAAGTCAAGGGAGGAGAACCTGCTGGTCTGCTAAGAAGATAGGACTGCCACCATCTTCGGGCCCTGCCCTCCAGTTGAAAGGTGTTAAAGTCCACCCCGTGGGACTCCAATACCCTCATGTTGTGCAGTCTATCCCTGTAATGATCAATGAAGTCCTGGGGGTCCTCATGTCACTCACCGCCAAAGGCAGGAAGATGTAGTCTGGTCCATCTATCCAATAACTTCTGCGGCTCGCCGGTCGCTGCTGGTCTGGGCCTATAGCCA